CTAACCATCTCATCCTCTGCCGTCCTCTTCTCCTTTTGCCTTCAATCTTTCCCAGCATCAGGGTCTTCTCCAAAGAGATCTCTCTTCGCAGAGGCAGAAATAAATTGGTCTATAAAAGGGAATTTTTTATCACCCTTTTCCACATGGAGTAAGAGTCTCTGCAAGAGATACAGCGCTGGCTTTCCTTAGGAATAAACTGTTTTCATAAGGGGAAATATTTGGGGAGAATTCATTAACCCAGATGGAAATAACTTAGTAGCAAAGTAAATGTTCAATATATGAACTATGAAGAAAATAGAGATTGGGCATTGGTCATGATTTCAATTCTGAGAGTAATATATGTTTAAGGTTGTCCTTACTTTACTTGAGAAGGCAGGGGACAATTTTGATCCACATTTTAAAGCAAATTGAATGCTCTGAAGTTCCAAGATCAATATAAGGCTAGGAGTGAAATTATGCCTTGGATCCTTCATTTATCTCAAATTTGCAACACAACCCTATTTATTTTGAAGAATGTGGTATCTGGGAGATATGCATGGAAAAGTAGATGTGGGTTTTCTCATGTGTTTTAAATCAAATAAATTAGCAGAATAGACATGATTACATACAGTTGAAGCTGAAATTAATGACTCAAAATAGAACCGTGCTATCCCACTCTTTTTTGTTAATTTTGTAATCCTCCTCCAAGCAGATTAATCCCACTGCAACCTTGTCCCAGTTAACTTTCATCATGTTTGACTCTCAAACATCTTCAATCCTCTCCACAGACAGCATTATGAAGCACAAGCTGGGGGGTGAGGTGGAGGCATGATAGGTAGTCTCTTTAACACAATGTCCAGAAATGCAATAGTTGTGCTACTTTTGGCCCTGAGGTGATTTTTTCCCCCCAAAGTGAGATATAATATACCAAACTGCTTTGCAAGCTATAGTATGTAGTGGAGACTGGCATGCACTCAGATGATGTGGGGTACAATTCTGAATTAGTAGAATATTAGATTATTTCATACATCTCTAATTCTTAACACTACTTTAAAGGTTAATTTCAGTCCTCATCAGTTTATACATTATAACAGACTCTCCTCTCTCTTTTGTTGAAAATACAAGAGATTCAAGCTCCTATTCCAATTTTTCCACTGACATTATAGTTGAGCAATTTGCTGCACAAATTATGTGCATACTCAAATTCAATAAATGTATCCCCATGTGAACAATCAAGAACTATTGTCTCTTGGATTGCTCCTTTTTTCCCTAAAGGCGGGAAATAATGTTTTATAAGCCAATTACATTTTTGCAAAGATACAAATAATTCAAGATGCATTCTGCAAGAAAAATTGATTACTTGCACCCCTTCTAATTATGCCCAGCTGATGATGATGATGATGATGATTTTGGACTCTTGGTCCATTTTATCTTCAGTGATCATTTCTTTGTACTTTAGTGGGAAAGAGGTCTCATTAAGGTATGAAGAGTCTAAATATTTAGATTTGAAATATGTATTATTGAGGGGATTTCTATTTGAACCCCCCCCCCTGCTCAACTTAGGTAATATACAGGTACATATTTTCTATGGAACGTAATTATTAATCTATGTAAGGAAAAAAGTGTGTGTGGGGGGGACAAAATAAAATTGCTCATGATGAAATGCCAACAGTTAACAAATATAAATCCAGAGATCTGTAGCTGTATGGTGTACTCTTTGCTTTGTCCAACACAAGAAATCCAA